TTTTTTTTACTTTTTATATTTTTTACCTTGTGTTTTTACACTATTAACTTTAGATTTTATATTTTTATAGATTTAACTGATCACATCACTCACAGTTTCACAAATTCATGAACTTTACAGACTCACGGTTAAAATTAAGTTGTAATAAAAACTTTTCTAAGTTCTAGTTAAATACTAATCACAAACCTATTTTTATAATAATAATCTCTATGATTTCTTCCTTCTAATATGAATGTATATTTTTTTAATATAATAATCTGATATATATATATATATATATATATATATATATAATTCTATATATGAAATACAAATTTATCGTTTTATGTCACGTCTTTGAAAATGTCGCGTCCTCGCTGTGGAGTGTAAGGCTTAAGGCTTAACCTCGCCATGACGCCACACCTCTCGCGTTTTTTGAACCTTGAGATAGATGGAGATATGTTTTAGTTTTTGTATCTTTTTATATATCTCTCTGTTTTCTGTGTATTTATTTGCGTAACATGATTTGCTAATGTTTTATGATGTTACTTATTCTTTTCAAAAAGTTTTTATAACCGTACCTATCTCGTATTAAGTTAGAGGTTGTTTGTTTATCTCTTAATAGTTTCATTGAAAGGCAACCTCTGAATCGTTAAGAGGTGAATCTTGTTTGGTAAAAAAAAAGTCTGCCTCTTAATGGTTCTAAAACTCTCTTAATGATTTTGTATTAAGAGCCCTAATTTCATTGTAAACAATTACCAAACAATTATATTTCATTTTGCACTATATCATGAGAGCCTCTTAATCATTCTGATCACTTAATCATTCTGCAACTGCCAAACAGCCCCTTAATCCCTACATTTAATTTCTTCAAACTTTTCTTAACAAACTTTCTAAAGTAGTCATGTTTTTATGGAAACAATTATTCTTATTCTTTTGGAGGTAGATAGATTTACGTACATCTCGACCTACTTCTAAGTGACAGATACCACATATCTATGGTTTGATTTGATTTTAACATAAACCATAACAAGATATCTTAAAACTAACATACTTCAAATGCTATATATGTCACATACTCTTTACCATCTTAAAGTACTTGGTTTTTAACAAGTTCCCCATCTCTAAATGTGATTGTTAGAAGTTAGCTTGTAGTTGTTCATCATTCTATATTCAGTGGTGGTTTGCTATTCTTATGAGATAGAGAGGATCTCCTATTTTGCAAAATTTGTAGTAACAACAACAACAATGATGCACTATCACTGTAGAGGGAAGTTTTGTTATGGACTCGAAATAATTAGGAATCTGGATGTGACATCCCTAAAATGAGGTAAATAAATATTTATGATAAGAAAAGAAATAAAGATAATAAAAGAAAAATGATGGACTTTCGATTGGGTCGATGAAGTTTTCTGATCATAAAGCTTAATCAGACAATTATAGAGTTTAGTACTTTGAGGTTGATCATAGGTTGACTTTAAGTTGACTTTTGAGAGTTTACCCACATCCAAATTGGACTTCTAACCATTTATTTTTCGAGTTTATCCAAATATCACTACTTCCGCAATATTAGATAAAAGACAAAAAAGATAAAAAAAATTCAACACCAGATCTGCAATTGCGAGGGCTAGATCGGTAATAACGAAGATCAGGTCCGCAATTGCAATGATAAACTAGTTGAATTTCAATTTTTTTGTCTGTTAGCTAATATTGTTGACCTGGATATTGTGGAAGGGAGATAAATAATTAGAGGACTAATTTAAGTGTGAGAAAAGGTCATTTGAGTCCATTTTCCTATTAAATATTATGTTATGAAATTGTCGGTTATCGGTCGGGTAAGTTCATATGAGAATGATACATATTTAAGAAAATAAGAGAATGACCAAATTACGTACAAAATCACATATGATTTTACATTAACAACCAAAAAAGTGTGCAGGCGACCCTATGGCCGCATGGCAAGGTTGCATGAATCACACATAACTTTGTACGTGATTGTTAGTGTAAGATCACATGTGATTCGGTCATCCTCTTATTTATTTTAAATATGTATCATTCTCATATAAACCCGTCTCTCTCTCTCTCTCTCTCTCTCTCTCTCTCTATATATATATATATATATATGCGTGTGTGTGTGTGTATATATACACACACACACAAGGTCGTTCCTTGGGGGAGGACGGTTCGGGTGTACGTTTAGGACCCACAAGAAAGAGGGGTCCATTTTTTTCCATATATACTATATTGTAGTTCAAAAAATTCCTAAATAAAAGAGAGTTTTTTTTAGTACCTAATATAATATGGTCCAAAAAGAATTTAACACTATATTAAGAGTCCAAACATGTATTAATTAATTATATTGAAGAAGAAAATATGTACAAAAAACATCAATTGGTTGTACATTATATAGTATTGTTTATTGTTTATCTAAATTTTTATCTACTACTAAAAATCTAAAACTACTTTGCCTAAAAACATTGGTATATTCTTTATCATTCATCTCCGACTGACTCTTTAAGTTATTCCATCCGCATGAATTCTATTTTTGTATTAGATACTAGTAGATTTCTTGTTATTAATAAGAAAACTCCTACCTTTTGGAAAATGATTAACCATTGAGGTGATCCAACTTATATCCATATTTATGATTTCAAAACTACTATTTTCTATGTATATATTATAGACTTCTCATTACCTAATATTGTATGCATGAATCTTAAGTACTAGTTCATCTCTAAAACAACAATAAGATCTCAAACTATAACCGAGATTGACTTTTGATTCTTAGATTGACGGTTCCTAAGAAAATTGTTTAACTCTAAAAGTTTAAAACGATGATACATTAACATGATATGACATAGAAACTCAACTAATTCATATTGATTTACATAAAGTGTTATTGTGAATAATCAACATTGTGACCTCAGATGATGTCAATCTATATACTAAAGGTATATCAATCAATGTGTTTGGTAGTAAAACAATTTTTTTTGATTAATCTGGATATCCAACCCGCTATGCGAACTGACTAATCCCAGGGTGATTACCTGCTTTGCAGGTAGCCCGGAGTCACCGCATTTGAACCTGCGTGGCCACAAAGGGATTTTTTTGTTTCTCCTTGGATTTGAACCTGAGACCTCCTGACACTTTTGACCTTTGGAGCCAAGCTCCAACCAATAAGGCACCACCCTTGTGGTTGTGAAACAAATTTATAATGCTATCTAAAGATAATATGATAGATAATATTAATTTAGAAGTAATTATTATTGATTTTGCGTCTAGGTCGAAAAACTGTTTTATATGAATTATTAGTATTTCTTAAATTCAATGTTATTTCTGATGATAAAATCAATATATTGAATTTTTTTGTGTACTTATTGATGATCCATTTTTACATCTCGTCTAGGGCTACAAAGTATTAGGAACATACTTATATATATATATATAGAGAGAGAGAGAGAGAGACATACACATATATATATGTATGTATATATAGGGTTGGGTTCACGTGAGATCAAAGGTTTTTCGTGAGACCCGTAAGACCAATTTATGTTCATTGATCAACTTTATAAGTTAATGATCTAATAGTCAAAATTGCACGGTGGCGATTTTGTAATTATTAAGAAGTCTCGTGGCGTTTATGAATGTTTAGATTTTCAGATTGTAGATCTAATTTAAGGGTTGAGAATTGGTCTTACGGGTCTCACGAAAAACCATTGGTCTTACGGGTCTCACGAAAAACCATTGGTCTCACATGATTCCAAGTCTATATATATGTGTGTGTGTGTGACTTCTCATTTTTCAAATGATCCAATTCTAACAGATCAATATTTTAGCCTTCCATCTAGTCTAATATATATTTGATTTCATTTTGTTTCCTAATCTAAATTCATTTTCTTCGCTTAATAAACTTTCTCATCTTCCATACATATCTCAATCATAATTAAAGAATCATGATAATTGTCTATAAATATCTTTATTATTTTCTAATATAAATATTGGTTATAGTTTGTATAATTTGTTAATATTAGATGGTTTATAAATAAAACGTTCCATATATATGTTAATAATATATGTATCTACACATGATATATATATATATATATATATTGGTTATTATACAACCCTTGACATTTGTGCAACCAATACAACCCAATCTCAACCGTGCATTTCATTTGAATAATATGTGATTTCATGGAAGTTTTGATTGTTTCCTAATATAAAGTATTAATCATAATTAATGAATCATATTCATCTTCGATAAATATTCAAATTATAATAAATGAACACTCATCATTTCCATAAATATCTCAATTTATTGGGTTGCATTGGTTGTACAAATGCAACGAGTTGTATTTGAAACAAACTCTCTCTCTCTCTCTCTCTCTCTCTATATATATATATATATATATATATATAGGACAATAATTAAATGAGAACCGACATAAAAACATATTTTATATGATTTTTTTTATCAAAAACTATGATTTAAGACGTGTTTCACATATGTTTGTGTTCACCTTATGAAAAAATTACATATGAATTTTTTTTTGTTTCACTTGGTGAAACGAAAAATATACATAAAAAATATTCATGTGGTGAAACAAATACATTTGAAACTATTACATTATGAAATAAATATATGTGAAACAATATCTTAAATCCTAGCGTTTCATGAAAAAAAAAATCATGTAAAAAATTATTTTAAAATCGGTTCTCATAGATTTATAACATTTTTGTGGTTATCATTTGATTTGCCGTATAATATATAATATGGATATATAACTAAGAGAAAGTTAAGAGCACCTCATAAAAGAAGACAAAAATTGAAAATTATCCACTATTTACCAAACCATCTTTGTCAAAGAGTTAGCTGTTATAATCAAACAGAAAGAAGACTAATCCTATGTGGCTGCTTGTTGAAGAAGGTTTTGGTGTATACAAAACCAAAAGGGGGTTTCCCCCATTAATAGCTGACCACATTTCTCCTCCACTCCAACCACCTCATCCTACTTTCAGTTTCAGGCCAACCATGGAAGACACCCTTCCTCCTGGCTTCAGATTTCATCCAACCGATGAAGAACTCATTACATTTTATCTCTCTCATAAGGTCTCTGATTCCACTTTCACTTGTAAAGCTGTTGCTGAGGTTGATCTCAATAAATGTGAACCTTGGGACCTGCCAGGTATTTCTTTCGTAAGTTTTTTTTCTACTCCTATGCGTTATACCAAACCAAATCACATGTATGTCATAATCCCATGTCTGAATGTATAAAGATTTGACATCTAAAGAGTAAAAGGGTTTAATTATGTTGTATTAATTGTAATGAAATTTTGTTCAGAGGCTGACTTCTTCTTCTGACATATACAAAGTATGGTTTGGTTATTCAGATTACCATTCTAACATATTTTGTATGGTTTTAGATGGTTAATGATTTTGATGGTCTTTTTATTGCATTTATTACTACGTACTCTTGGTGAACTGCAAATAAAAAGGGACCTATACTTAATAACGTTTAAATTCTTCAGACCTATAATTTTGAGTCTTACACATCGGCATTAGAGAAGTTACGCCATTTAACAACTTTTATTCAAATAACCCAATTTCATGGATAAAATTATTTGTTATGTATTCTAACTTAGTCCTACCAATTTATTTTAGCACATTATATTATATATAGTGCACCATTATTATTCCAAATACTTAAAATTTATTATAAATACACTCTTAGCACATTTTATTGTAATGATGCTTATTTTTGGTGTTTTATTTCTAGGATGTAAGCTAACAGGTTCTATAAGTTATAACACTTTATTAGTATTATCATATCCAAATTGCTCCATTGAATTAAACAATTCAAGAAAAAAAATATGATTTTTCATCATCACAAGCGAAGATATTGGGATGCTCATTACTTCAGTGTTTTTCGAGTGAATCTCTTAGTTGTTGAGAAGATTGTCCAAAAGCCGTTTATAAGTGAAACCTTAGTGAATGGACTAAACTGTATGCAGCCAAAGCATCTATGGGAGAAAAGGAATGGTATTTCTTCAGCTTGAGAGATCGTAAATACCCGACTGGACTACGAACCAACCGTGCAACTGTGGCTGGTTATTGGAAGACAACAGGAAAGGACAAAGAAATCTTTCGTGGCGGGATCTTGATTGGGATGAAGAAAACCCTAGTCTTTTATCGGGGTAGAGCTCCAAAAGGAGAAAAAACCAACTGGGTGATGCATGAATATAGACTTGAAACAGCACATGCTTTTAAACCGAATAAGGTACATGCAATGCAAAGTGACCAACCGTGACCAAGAAGTTATTCGAATTTGATTAGTGTATAGGTTAATTTGATCGTTTTAATACCTTGTTTTGCAGGAGGAATGGGTAGTTTGCCGAATCTTTCAAAAGAGCACGACCCTCAAAAAGCCAATGGCCACAGCATCATCGCCCCAATCAATGGGTTCGCCTTGTGATACTAACGCGATGGCGAATGACTATGGTGATATCGAGTTGCCAAACTTAAGCGGCATTGGGAATTCAAATATTTCACTTCAGAATTATGGCATAGAATCTAATGTTAATACAAACATGAACCTGAATATGAGTCTGGCAAGCGGTCTTCCATCGCTTGCATGGCCATCTAACTTATTGACTTCAAATCTTTCAATGAATGCGTTGCTTCTTAAAGCCCTGCAACTTAGAACTTACCAACAAAGAGATGCTGCAAATTTTGATTACCAGTTTCTACATGACGCAAGTCCAAGCTTACAAGCTTCTTCCCCTAGAACTTATGAATCTCTACAGCAGCAGCAGCAACAAGTACAGCATCAAGAGGAGCAACCATTCAACTTGGACTCCATGTGGTAAGCTTTGATGGGTGATACTTGGTTGGGACTAACAGTTTATGACTCATCAAGAGGGGCATTTGGAGGTCAAAAAACTGAATTAATTGAACCTCGAAGCTCTTTGCTTGAATCATTTTCTAAGATGTAAAATATTGGCATAAACCTATGGTGATTACTGTAATCGTTAAGATAGTGTATTCAAAGTAGTTAAATAATTGTCGATTGGCTTATAAGATTTTTGTTTCGTCTGTGTATTTTTGGATTATAGTCAAGTTTTAACGTCTGAATCGTACAAATAAGTTTCGATATGGGAACAAAGTCATTGTAGTTTATCATCAAGCATTTGCTTCAATGGTATTTGGACAATGATAATACCTTGAGGGTTATGGCTTTAAGTTCCTTTTCCTTGTTTTCTCTCTAAAAAAATGGTGTACGTATGCTTATGTTGCAATTATATATATAGAGAAAGATTTGTCATATTCATACGATAGCAGTAACCAAATAAGAGAGCACGAAAGCCATTGAATAATGTGTGATTTTACACTAAAATCATGTGTAAAATCACATATGATTCCGACGACTTTGGCCTTGACCTGACGTTGCCCTTGTGTTGATCATGTTTTGTAGTTGCATGCAAAATCACATGTGATTTGACTGTTTTATTGTTCTCTTATTTTGATTATGTTCTCATTTGATCATTCTTCTCTTTATATTTGTGTGCGTATATATATATACACACACACACACACATAGGGGCATGTTCCGTTAAGAAAATAAGACCGCCCACAACATGGCACATGGTATATTCATCAGGAATGTGGACATGTTATTCATCATGAATGTGTGAATTATGATGAATAACACGTCCGTATTCACAATGAACATGTGACTCATGATAAATACCCGTCTGTTTTATTTATGAAGAATATTCATCCTAACAGAGACATATGACGCATTGTGGGAGGTTCCCGGGCTCTCAAAGAAAAACAGGTTTTCAACTGTACTTTCCTCTATACGTATATAAGTATATGTATATATATACTAGTTGGGCACCCTTGAGATGCTGTGTGATTCATTCAAATCATAAAATTCGAGACCTCTCTATTTTATTTGTAATGGTTTTGTGTGGTTTGAGTTGAGAGAATGAATCAGTTTTTAGTTGGTTATTAGTTTTATAATGTATTACGCCGTATCAGTTTTAAAGTATAGCATATGTTCAGGAAAGTAATTCAAGCCAAATCCAACCGATAAGTGCTTACCATGAGCCAAGACCACCGGCTATTCATGACCCAACAAATCTTTTTTTGGCTCAAACTGATTAATTGATTCATAGAATAGATAAAACAAGGTAAATTAGTCTTGGAAACAAAATATTTTGTATCAACTACATGAGATTGATACGGCTTGTTTCCATCATGGTCATCTGTAGTTGACTTTCTTCTCCGAACCATTTTAAACTTCTTAGAATGATTATCTGAATTAGCTACAAAATCGTTGTGGAACAAACTGGAAGTATGAGTATGATACTTTGAAGAACCATATGATTTGGAGTATCTACTAAAATAATTGTTTAACTTGACACTTGAAGAAATAATTATTCTTACAAACATTAACAGAAGAGAAAGGATCAATTGCATGAACAAAACTTGAGGCAGTCTTATAAGAAAATACAAAATCAGAATCAGTTGAATCGTCATACAGATACGTAGTATCTAGACTAGGTTGTTTAGATAATTCAGCATTTTCTGAATTCTCTTTGATTTTGCTCAAAAATTGTTTTCTTTCTTCAGAATACTTATGCTTTTCATTCTCAAGTAATAACTCATGTTCAAAAAATTTCTTTCAAAAAGAAATATTTTCAGAATAAACCAGAAAGAAAATTTTAAAGAAAATTCAATTACATCTTCAAGCTCTTTGATTTTACTCGCAAATTAATCTCTTTCTTTGTTAATCAAATTGCATTTCTTTTTAATTTCAGATCTCACATTCTTCTCAGGCACAAGATCTGATTCTAATACAGATAATTTCCTTGAAAGCTTACCAATTTTTGTCTCAAATATTTTCCTTTCACTTTCAAAATCATTTTCTAAACTCTTTCTCTTATCATATATGTCATTGAAAATCCCAACATTCCTTTTCTCAACAATTTTTCTTTTACTTGCAAAACCTTTCTTTTCATTTTCAAAATTTTTCTTCTCTATTTCCAAAGATTTCTGAAGATCAAAAATTTGCATTGTAAACTCCAAAATTTTCTTCTCAAAAGATTCTCTTTCTAGCTCAAACTTGATCTTTTCTATAACAACTTTTTCCAAATCAGAAACTTGTTTTGAAAGATTCACAATTGTTGTCTCACAAGTTTTAGAAAACTCATGTCTTGATATTGTTCTTTTGTTAAAGATTGCTTGTGTGAAGTGATTTCTGAAGAAAATCCTAAAAAGATGGGTGAAAAGGATGATAGTATGTCGTTTGAATATTTCGTCTATCGTGTGATAAGTTCAAGAAAGAAATATGTTGAAAAAAAGCCAAAACAAGTTGATAATATAGAACATGAAATTGTGGATGCAAATGAGTGATTCTTGGAATTCAAATTTTCTAATAGGTTTATAACAGAAAAGGATTTCAGAGTTGTGACCTATATGGATACTTTTAGAACTCAGTCTGAAAAGTTCAAAAGAGAGTACTGGCAGTTTAATGACAAAGTTGGTAAGTTGAAAAGAGATGTTCACTCAGACTTGTTGATCTCTAAGTTTATTGATATAAAGTAAAAGAAATGGAGGAATATTGATTACATCGGTTATGAAGTTGAAAGAGAGGATGATAAGTTGTACATATTTTCTGAAGCTTAATTTGCATCTACGAGATATTATCAAATCTACACCAAGCTCGCTTCAGTTGAAGAGAAAGTTGAAAAAGTTTTTGATTGCTATAACTCATGGAATTCTCAGAGCTACTATATGGGCAGGTCCAATTGATTTTCTTGTTGCTTTTGTCTTGGGTAGAGACAAAGTATATTTGATGCTTCCAAATGTTGAACTTAAAGGAATACAGAAGATGCATATAGGAACAGTAATAAGGGTTCATGTTGGATATGTGTTTAAGTATTCTTAAACAAATGAGAGATTCCTTTTTAGAATTATAGATGTTGCCAAATATTCATCTGGAACTATGAGGCAAATATTTGATTCACTTGGCAAGAGATTATTAAAAAGGCCTAAGAAGGTTAGTGAAGCTAAATGGTCAAAGTTGAAGGAGTTAACTGTTTGGATGAAAGAATATATTCAAGCCAAATGAATTACAGAAATATCATTATCATGAAGTTTGTTCCAATTCTGAAAGATTGCAATTTTGAAATTTAAAGAAAAGGGGGAGTTGTAAAAAAAACAAGATTTGTTGCTTCAAATGTCAAGTATAAAGTCTTGAGAAGACTTTCCATATATTTGAAGAAGATGTGAAGAGTACAAATCTAAGTCTGAAAATGACTATTTGTCTATGGCATAAGTCTTACAGACTTAGGGTCTTCCAGAGTTTGAAGTAGACTAACGCTAGATACACTATCCAGAGTTAGACACTTCAAAGATTTCAAGTTTACAACTTCTCCAAGATAAAGACTTCATGTACATAAGAATACTAGAACACATGTCATACTATAATAGGGTTGTCATGTAATTGTAGCTTCTCTATTCTGGTATGTATAGAAGTTTGTTAGGAGTTATTAGACACGATTTGACACAAATTATTTGATCATGACCCTTAGATACATCTTGTACTCATATATTTTTGATAATCAATACACATGATGACTTTGTTGATCCAATAATATTCTTGATTGTTTCTGCATATTCTTGATATTCTTGATTGCAAACAGTATACGGTATTCACACCATCATTGTTTAAATCTCTTACATTAATTAAAGAATCATTTTCTAGTAAATAAGTGTGTTCTCACAGAGCCCATGCACATGCATGCAAATCCTAATGCTCAGAAACCACTTCCCAAACAGAAATAGGAACCCAAGTCTAAAAAGACTAAAGGCAATAAGCCTGCACCCAAATCTAACCAGAAAGTATCTATACTGAAATTGGTACTTAAAATTCCTTGATTGTTTTGTAGAACCAACATGTGAAGATATGGTATTTAGATTCTGAATGCTCAAGACACATGGCTAGTGATAAAAGTCAGTTAACCTCATTCGAAGACAAAATAGGAGGTTTTGTCACTTTTGGAAACAACAAGACTATAACAACCATAGGATATGCGAATCTTGTGCAAGGCAATATCTCTGTGTCCAAAATGGTCCTCATCTAATCTACTAAGCATTAGAAAATTTTAATTTAGAGTCATTCTTTAAGAGGGTTGTTGCATCATTGAAACTTAATCTGGTAACGAGCTTCTAAGATCCAAAAAACATATGAATCTCTATGTAATAGATTTCTCTGCAACTACAAGTCAAGAGACTATTTGCTTAGTCTCACAGAAGAATGAGGAATGTTGGCTATAACATAAGAGATTTTCACATCTTAACTTCTCAAACCTAAACAAGCTTACCAAACAGAAGCTTGTCAAAGGTTTACAAGAAATAAGGTTTGACAAGGATCATTTATGTTCTACATGTGAAATGGGGAAGATCGAAAGTGTTGCCCTTAAATCCAAAACAAATGTACCTTGTTCCAGAGCTTTGGAGATGCTTCATGTGGATCTTTGTGGTCATATCTTAACCCAAAGTCTCTCCAAAGAAAGTATATCTTAGTTCTGGTTGATGAGTACTCAAGGTACACTTGGGTAGACATCATAAGGATGAAATTTGTTGTCCCAAATTATTGATTAGCTTGCCAAAGAGGATTGAAGTTATATTACAATTCAAGGTCCAAAAATTGAGAAGTGGCAATGGTACAAAATTGATATTTATCTTGTAAATGAAGGCATCTCTCAAAACTTCTATGCCATCAGAACCCCTCAACAAAATGGTGTTATGGAAAGAAGAAACAGAACATTGGTTGAAGATGCGAGGACCATGTTTGCATCCTCTACTCTACCTATCTCATTTTGGGCAGAAGAAGTATCAACCGCTTGTTTTACTCAAACTATATCTTTCATTAACAAAAGATTTTATAAAACATCTTATGAAATCATCAACCAGAGAAGGCATAATGTTAAATACTTTTATGACTTTGGTTGCAGATGCTATGTTCTCAATGATAGAAACCATCTGGGAAAATTTGACAAGAAGCTAATGAA